TCTCTCTCTCCTGGAGGTGCTCTGAGACGTAGAAAAGCCACGTCTCTGGAGACAGCCAGACCTGCCCTTAGATCCAAGCCCAACCTGCCTTTACTGGCTGTGTGACCTTGAACAAAGTCCTTCAGCTTTCTGAGCCTCAGCTGCCTCAGTATTAACCTCATACAATCCTCATGAGGCTTAAATGAAATAACCCTCATTAGGCTTAAGTGAAATAATACATGCCAAGGGCTTAAATAATTTCCTTAACAAATTTTAGCTGTTGTTAACATATCATGCATTCATAGGTTTTAAATGTAAGAAGACTGTGTTTCCTGTGTAGAAGGAATAAACAACTCTTCAAGACAACTATTTACTATTGCATGTTAATTGGTGATTATATGGATTCTTTCTGGCCCATTGTATTTATACCCACAGTGCCTAGCACAAATGGGCGCTCAATTAATATATGTTGACCAAACAGTGCACTGCTGAGAGAACCCTGGCCACAGGGGAGCGTCAAAGGAAATTGCAGCTTAATTTTTTATTTCAAACGCAATACTTAGTCACTGTAAAAAAAACATGTAGAAAAATATAGCTAAGCGGGAGGAATCCTTATTCCCACAGCTCAGAAGTAGAGGTAAATGTGCTGATGTATATTCTTCCATTTTTTTCCATGAATTATATTCATTCATTCATTCATTCATTTTTACATAAAGCAGGTCAGGATGGGCAGCCTTCAATAACCTGGGAGGGTTTTCCCCACACACACACACTTAATATATCATGAACATCTCCATGTCAAATCTCACATTTTTTCTAGTGGCTAAATAGTAACCCGCTGTACTGATGGCTTTATTTAACCAGTTATAATTCTGTAATTATAGCACATCTGGGTCTTTTCCGATTTTTCACTCCTTAGTACATTAGTCCTGTAGTTAAAGGTTTGTAACATCAGTGAGTATTTCCTTGCGAGAGAAATTCCTGGAATTTACTTTCACGTTGGCGACCATGCCATTTCCCCCCACCTCACCCCCCATTAAAAAAAAAAAGAGGTGATGCCCTTTTACTTTTAAAATAATAACGACACCGCTGTGCCACAACCGGGTTGAGGTCAGGTTTCTGACAAACCGCGTGTAACCCTTGGGAGAGAATAAGAAAGTAAATGCCAGGCTCTACAGCCATTTCATAGGACGGTCGGACCAAAGAAGGTTGAGAGGCTGGAGAGCCCGTGGCAGTGAGCAGAGGTGGACCGAGTCTGGAGATCCCCGTGCAGACTTGTTTGTGAAACCTGGGGCAACTCCTTTCCTCTCTGGGGGCTCAGCTTTTCCAGCCGGGGAGGGAGGGCTGGTAATATAGTCTGGACGTCCTACGACATCCGGGTGACCCCCTCAACGGGCACTGGCACCCCGTCTCAGCTCCCAGGCCCTAGCTGTGAGATTGGGACCCTAGGTGGCTGAGGCTGAATCTGAAGCTCCACCCCTCAAAGGGGGTTTGGGCCTGGCCGGCCCGATGGGGTTTTCTGAGCGGGACTGGTTATGCCAAATGTGGCTCTGGCTGCGCGGACAGTATGCCTCGGTACCCTCTCTCCTTTCACTAGTCGGGGCTACAAGAAAGCAGGACCACGGTGCGCATTCTTCCCATGCCTAGGATACCTCGGGCGCTAAAAATAGTCACCGAAGCATGGTCTGTAAACTAAGCTGATGTCCTGGGTTCAAATCCAGATAAGGCCCCCTCCGTCCTGGGGCACCTCGATCAGCTTGCTGCCTGAGTCTCAGTGTCCCCCATGCACGCCACGGTTTCTAAGGGGCTTCCCAGCTCTTGGAAAGAAAAAGGAAAAAAACCCTCGGTTTTCCTTTTCTGCTCCTGCCAGAGGGGCCTTGGGGCCTGGGGGCCGGGAACTGAGACCGGGGGAGGGGTGTGCCGGGACGGCTCATTACAGCGAGGTGTTGCCCTAGTTAAATCACCGGCCTGTTTGATCTGGCGGCGGGTGGCGAGAGGAAAAAAAGAAAAAAGTAGGGGGGTAAGAGTGGAGAGAAGCTCACACCTCCCCCCCACCGTTTCCTCGCGTCCATAAAACACCTTTTATTAACTCCTTCGTGTCCGGAAAGGCCCGCGTGGCCGCTCGGCCCCTGCCACGGTGTTTACAGCCAAGACTAATGGGGCCCCATATTCACCCGATGCCAGGACTAGGCGCCTGGACACACCTGGCCCGGGAGCTGCCCAAGGTCTCCTTTCTCGGCCCCCAGCTCCGGGTGTGAAGCAAGAAAGCGCTAAGGGACCCCGCACGCATGTCCTCGGGCTTCCGCTCACAGGGAGCGCCGGAGACCCACCCGTGCAAGCACTACAGAGGTTCGACCCTCGGGCAATCATGGGAGCTGTTCAGAGGCATAAAAGAGCTTAGCTCGTGCCTAGCACACAGTTGCGCACAAACAAAACGAGTTGCCTGTACGCTATTATTTAGGGACCTGTACGCGTCTGCGTTTGCACGCCCGTTTAGCCCAACCCAGCGCCCGTGTCTTGGCAAATGCGCCCACTTCTGTTCACCCCCATGACCAGCCAAGGGTGCGCATATGGGGGTACAAAGGTGGCTCTCCTTAACAAGTGCCCCAATTAGCATGCACATACCCCCCACCCCTTTGCACAAATCCTGTGTTCTCACAATTATTTGTTGAGTGCATTGTTGCTGGAGAAAAACCTAAACGTCTCTATTTAACCATAAGAACTCACAAGCTTATTTTACTCACGTATAAAATAGCCGCTACGACTCACCGAGTCCTTACCGCGCGCTGGGAGCTGTGCTAAGCAGACCCTGGTTGGCTCCCCACACAGGCAGCCGGGCTCCGTGAGTTACTGCACCACCGTACGCCCAACTATGTGTTCAGAATTTCATCATTACATGAAGGTAGTACTGCTGAGCGCATCCCCCTCTTCCCAGCAACGCTGCCCTGGAGATGAGGTCCCCTTCCCAATAACCCCAAACCACTGCCTGCAGACACGGATGTGCCTGCTAACCTGGTGTGAGACCAGCCGCAATGCCGACCTACCTAAATTCTAGCCTGTCTCTCTGGGTCTAATTCCTTTCCAGTTTTCTTTCTGTGGGTTCACTAAAGTTACCCTGTCCCATAGTTATATTGTAAGTTATATTGTAAGGAGAATTTTGTTCTTTGTTCCAAGAATAAGTCCTTTATCTGCTCCCTCCCCTTGACTTGATTTGCAGTTTGGTTGAGCATTTATGGAAAGGAAGTAGAGACTCTCCACCTAGCAGAAACGATGAAGCCGGGAATACCCACCAAGACATCACACGGGCTTCCTCCGATTTCGGAAAATGTTTTATTAGTCAAGAGCACAGATACTGCTTTGGCAAAGGGAGGGGGCGGTGAGTGGTCATATAGATTTGAGGTAGAAAAAGGGTAAGGATGGGGGAATAAACAAACACCTGAGCGCAGCAGGCACCGTAGGTAGTTTAAATACATAAAAACTTCTCAACAGAGGGAAAAGCTTTTATTAAGGAAGGAAGGAAAGGAGGAAGGAAGGAAGGAGGAACAAAGAAAGGAAGGAAGAGAGGAAAGAAGGGAAAAAAGCGTTTCCCTTGGAACTAAATAGGAAGTGCAGTGACAAAAAATAAAATAAAATAAAAACACCACTGTTTTTATGAGGGAGATAAACAACAAAAACATCTTCCTGGTCTGGTTCTCTGTCCTTGGCAGAAAACTATTGATTCCTCTTATTGCATTTTAATTAGGGAAGGGAGCACCGGAGGGTTTTGACTGCAAGCAGAAGGTGGGGGGACGGTGAGAAAGAGAGCCAGGTAGCATAGTGGGGAAGGCGCTGGGGGTTCCAAATTCGCCCCAGAAGGGTTGGAAGGGTGCGTCTTAGCCCACTCACATCCCGCAGTCCCCCCCTCCCACATAGTGCTGCCAAGAGCCACCCTCTGTTTTGGGGGGTGGGTATATATATATATATATATATTTCTCTTTCTCTTAATGTATTAAAAACAATTTCAAATGACATTGCACGTGTGATCCAAGTGTGTTGCAGCCGGCGACCTGCCAGCATGCAGCAGAGGCTTGGCAGGAGGCGCCCCCATAAACGCCTGGCACCCAGAGCCTGGCACTTGCTGCCGCCTTCCTCTCCTCCCGGGGCTCCGGGGTTGGGCCGCGGTGGCGGGGTCCTCGGCGCGGGCCTCAGCTCACTGGTTTAACTCCAGCGCCCAGACTTGCTGCGGCCAGCCTGTGCGCCCTTTAATCCTCTTCTCGCCTGGGCCCAGGGCAGGAGGAAAGCCTTCGTGTTGCTGCTGCCAGAGGACACACATAAGAAAAGAGGCGAGAGAGACAGGTTTAAAATGTTCTGCTCCAGTCGCCCGGTGTAGAGTGAGGTGGGGAGGAAAAGGTGTTGGGGGCAGTAACTGGGAGCTTTTCAATAAGTGACAGATTTCTGTTTGTGAAATAAGCAAACAGGCTCATAAATTTGCCTTTATGCGCCGAGTTCCCGGGGGCAGGATGGGCTGGGCAGCTGCTGGAGGTTTGGTAATGAAAATTTTTCTGCATCTAGTGGAATTGATGCACCTAGGTTTGCCTTAATGGTGCCCAAGACAGACTGCAGGAGTCGGAATGGAAGGGGTGGGAATCAACAGTTTTCCGCTCTCGGACACACATCCCACTGGCTTTCCAACCTGGTTTAGCGCCTGAGCTTTGATACTGGGTTGTGTCCTCTCCAGCCGGTGCCCGAAAGCCTTAGACGGCTGGCCGAAGGAGATGCAGTCAGCCTGGCTTAGCAGCGTCCCCTTCCCTGCTCTCTCAGCAGAAACCAAGCGGTGCTACTCGAAGGAGGCAGCGACTTGCAGAAGGTGGGGATACACCCAATACCCAATAACTGCTTCCACCGAGGCATCATCGGGCCTGCCAGGGCTGCGGTTTAGAGACTCGATACCTAGCTGTCTTTCCCAGTCTGCACAGGTGAGCTTTCCCTCGCTGACCATAGCCCCTGTGGGTCAGGTCAAACCCAGTGGGGCTCGCTAGTCAGCTTCCATATAGGCAGCGGGCCTGAATTCTCTAGCCTGGAAATCTGCTCTCTGAGGTTCCGCAACCCTGGCCAAGCTTCAGAAAGTGTCGCCCTTGCTGGAGAGGATGGAGAAAGGTGGAGTAGAGACTGCGCGATCTCCAAAGCCAAAAGAGGGTGAGACGGGGACTCTCGCTTGTTGTTGACACACAAACCCATCAAAGTCCCCTTTGGAACCAGCCCGTGGGAAGTTGCACGGTGGAAGGCGCACTGGACTGGGAGTGGAAGACCTGACTTGTTTTACCCCAGCTGTACCTCTTGACTCCTTGGGTAGCTGGCCTTCAGGATGCGTCCCACTCTGGCCCTCAGTTTCCCTACCTGTTCGATGATGGAAGTAAATTAGCCTCTCCAGCAAAGACCCTTTGAAAGCGGTAACTGAGCCCATATGCGTAAATTCACACTCAGGCAAATTAAAGGAACAAACTCCTACAGCATTCTTAACCTGGCTTCCAGGAGAGCCCAGGGGATGGTTCAGGGTCCCTCGCAATTGGAAGCGAAATAGACGATAGGTGCATTTTCTCCCGGGTCTCAAGCTTCCAATGGGTTCTTAAAAGGGACGCTATCGTCCCCTCCCAAAAGGTTAAGATCCTGCCTTCATTCACAGCCTTACAAACACCATTCCACATTACAAATGAAGTTTAAATAGGAATCTTTCTCCCTCACGCACACAATCCCACATTTCGACCATCTCAAAACTTGCCGCAGCCTCTCAAAATTTCGCGCGCGGCACTGCGGACTCCTTCCCCTGCGCGCCGGCCCGCGGGAGCTCACCGCCCCCGCACTGGGCTGGAGCGTACACAGGCCCCTGAACTTACCAGCTCCCTTTTCCTCTTACTCTCGCGGCCGCCATCCACCTTCTTGAGTTCGGCCTTGAAGGCCTCGGGGTCGCCAGCCTGTGCGTCCTTGGCTAGCACGTCCATCAGGTAGGCGATGTAGCTGGTGGCCAGCCGCAGCGTCTTGATCTTGGAGAGCTTGGTGTCGGCGGGCACGTTGGGAATGCACTCACGCAGCTCCGCAAACGCGCTGTTAATACTCTCGGTGCGCTTCCGCTCCTTCTTGGGTCCTGAGCCTTTCCGCCGGCCCAGGCGCCCTCCGAGGGCCTCCAGGCGCCCCGGGCTCTGGCCGGACCTGGCATCCGGACAGTAAGCGGCCGAGGCCGCCGCGGCTGTGGGCGGTGGCCCGCCGGCGGGGAAGTCCCGGGCAGCGTCAGCAGGGCTCAGCAGCCAGCTCTGGAAGTAGGGCCGCTCCTGGTGACAGCGCGAGGCTGGGCCGAAGAGGAAGGGCTCATGGAGCATGGGGTGCGCGGGGTGCGGGTGGTGATGGTGGTGATGGTGGTGGTGGTGTGCGTAGCTGCCCACGAGGTTCATCTTGGAGCGGCCCCGGGCCTGCGCCGCCAGCCCAATTAGTGCTGCCCCATGCACCCCAGAGACTGACGGGGCCACCCGTGGGCTCTGGGGCGGCGCTCCGGTGGATGCGGGCTTTAGGAGAGTCAAGGGGCAAGGTTGAAAAAGAGGCGCAAAGCGGGGGCCGCCTTCTGTCGCGGGCGCGAGGATATCGAAGTTGAGAGACCTGTTTAACCCTTCTGCAGCCTCTACTTCAGGGTCTGGCTTATATAAGTCCACGGCTTTGATGTCAACCTCTCCCTGGAGCCAATGGCAGGGGGGGGGGGGGGGGGGGGGAAGGGGGGTGGCCGTCCCTAGTTTAAAGCTCAGCTTGCGCCACTCGCCTCTAGGCTGCCTGCGGGGACAGAGAGGCGGCCCCGCCTCCGCCCCTCCCCCCCAGTTGGCAGCTTGGCCGGGGTGGGGGAGTGGGAGGGGGCTACGCACTTGAAGACTTGAGGCACAGGCCTGTCAACGCCCTGGAAGGTGGCTGCCACCTCTCCCCCGTCCCGTCCCCCCGCACTCACGGAAAGGAATCTAGAATCCTCCAGTGAAAAAAGGGCCTTCAGATAGCGCCCACCATTTGATTTTACACGTAGGGAAACTGAGGCCCAGCGAAAGAAAGGTTCTTGTTCTAGACCTTCCAGAATTCAAAATAGGAATTACAGCGGTCCCCAGTCCTGAGCTCCATTGGCATCAGAGCCAGAAGATGACAGGGTGCTTCTGGGGGCCGGAAAGACCCCTGACGTTCTTTGCTAAGCACCCCCCGAGTCCTTAGTCATCGGCCCCATCGCGCCGAAGTGGAAGCACTGGTCAATGCTGGCGAAGTCGTGTATATTTGCGGCCAGATACTGAGCCTCTTCTCCGCGCTACTCAGACAATGGCCCCGGAGATCGGCTCATGTTGGACTACTTCACCAGGTCATCACCGCTTGAGAATGTTTGATTCTATAAAGACACCAGCGCCAGAGTTCACACTGCGAAAAATCAGCATTTGGCATTAAACACATACAAAGGGGACCACGACTTGCACACTATCGCCAAGCTCATGTAGCGGGAGACATGCACTGCGGGGCATCTCACCAGCACAGAGAAGTCATCCTGGCTGCGCAGACCTCCGCTGTTTCCCCTCCCGGCCAGAGCCATTCCCAGACGTCCCAGTCTCGCCACGGGGGGCTTTCCCTGGGCTTATGTTGGGACCAGGAATTCCCAGGGTGGCGGCGCTTCCGGCCGGTGTTCTCTGCCCTACCTCCCGTTGCAGTAGCCTCCCAGCTGATGTCCTTCTATCTGGGTCCCTCCTTCCCTAGGTGGGGTAGAGGGAGCGTGCCCTTCTCTCAAAAGCAATGTGGAGGTGAGGGTGAACGGGGAAGGTCAATACGTGACTGCTTCTTTTAGAGGGCAAATTCATTCCTTTACCCTTTACATTCATTTAAGTATTTATTGACGCCCACTATGTGCCTGGCATACTTAGTCCAAAGGCAGAGGAAGAAAGCCAACTCTTTCCTCGTACAGAAAGGGAAAGTGGGGCCCAGGGAAGATGAATGATTTTCCTTGGGTCCTGTAGCGAGTGGATACTGTGGTACTCCTGTACAAGGGAGTAAATGGAGGGGGGGAGCACGGCTGGAGAGAAGGGGACAAACGCCTAGTCGTGAGCCAGCCCGGTCCCCTCGGGGGAGCTCGGCAGGGCTGTGGGCCCTAGAGGTGCGTGGGGGGAGGGAGGCGCTGGTTTCCTGCCTTAGGCAAGCTGGAAACCCGCCGCTCTCCGGGCGCCTGGCGCCAGCAGCGCTGGGGTTGGGCCGAGCATGGAGCCGGAGGCTCGAGGGGAGGGAACGCCCGGGCGCCCAGTTCCGCCGCGGCTCCGCGGGGTCCCGAGCCTCCCTGGCCTAGAGGCGCTCTTGAGTGCATGTGCGGGTAGGGAGAGTAATTACTATGTGGAGAAGGACCTCAACCCTCCACACACACCCTGCCTTTGTCCTAATCCGGGATCGATCTTCACCCGCAGGCTCTCATAGTGGCCCACTCGGCCCACGATTGCACATACACACATACATACGGAATCACATAAACTCACCCGCATGCACAAAAGTCCACCTATTCATACGCCCCAAAGTCTGTGTATTCTCACAGCACATGTACACCCACACAACACAGCATTTCAATATTCATGCATTCCTAGGGTTTTACACATTACCTCTCTATCAGCACACATCCCGCTGCAGATGTGTTACAGCTGAGCCTCCCAAGCCTACATGCCTGCATGCATAAGATACCTTCATCCAGTAGAGGCACGTACATTCTGCATAAATATTACACCAATGCAGGTTCTTACACATTGTTTTATGTCACAGTTGTGCAGGGGTATAACCAGTTTGCATTTCCTTAAAATTCCCCACAGTTCTATTTACAGCATAAATGTCTGAAAACCACGTCATGCATTTTGTGTATTCTCAGTGTCACAACTAAACCTTCAGTCCCACAAACACACAATGCATAACCATGATGGATACTATATATGCACAGGTGCTCAGAAATAGATGTTTTCACATGTTCATACAGTGGCACATAAACACTCAGACAGCTTGACATATATTCTGTTTTACCTATATGGTCACATTCACACACTTATGAAATGAAGTGAACAACAGTATGCACATTATCACAGCACCCACGTGGATGGGACCTGCAATTACCCACATACTCACAAATTCATGCTCCAGGTCCAACCTATACGTCCTAATCGGTTTCCTGTGGTTACACATCACTCAGAGTGGTTCACACCCCCCAAATATCAAGCCTGCTTAGTGGGGTGGGGAATATATTATCATTACTGGGTGATGAATCCCAGTCCCATCAGACCTTTTGAGATTGCCCAGCTGTCTCTCTCTCTCTCTCTCT